AGTTATATTATATATAAGTTTTTGGTTATAGTTAATGTATAGATCTTTAATATATTTTTAAAATAAGTTAGTTTTATTCTTGGTTATGTTTTTAAGATGTTCACATTGCCAAAATATAAGTTTTACAAATATTTTTAATAAAAATTTTAGTAGAGTTTTTTATAAAATATTGATTTCAAAATAATATATAATATGAATTATAAATATTAGTATAGTTAAAGTATAGATCAAAGAAAAGATTATGTTGTTTAGCAAAAGAATAAATAAGATTGTTTAAAATATTATTAGTATGAACTTGCACTTTATAGAAATTGAATTATAAGTTATAAGATTTAATAATATTTAATAAGGTATGTTATATAGACTATGTATTAAATTTGAAAAGTTTGTTAGAATTAGGATGTATAATATAATATTAGAGTATTTAGTAATAATAAATTGAAAATTTATATAGATGTTGACTATTGAATTTTGAAATGTAGTAAAGATAACTAAGAAAATAGCTATGAGTTCTATTTTGTAAAATAATAGCCAAAAGTATATTTTAGCAGAAAATTTATAAATAATTTAATTATTATTATTATTTTTTTCCTCTTTGGCAGCCTTGCTGTTAACTTTTATTAAGATTTGTATTTACAAATTTGTACATACTTTGACCTAATTTACTGGTTTGACATCCTCTGGCTGCTTCAATGAATGCTCAGAGGTGGTTTGTCGCACCAGTTGGGATAATAACCCAGATCCAGAGGCTGTATCAGACTAGCCTAAAAGACTATATGAAAATAGTCTTATTTTACTCTTTATATAACTTTTAATTGAACCAAACCATGTTTCTTTTATCTTATTATTTTCCACCTCTTTTAACTCCTTAATCTCCTTAGCAGCTTGATTTCTTTCTACTCTAATTGGATTCTCTATTTGACTATGCATCTCTTTACTAGATAATTTTACCTTTCTTTCTGGTTTTTTTTGCTTTAATGACCAGTTAATGTTTATCAGCTTTTCTTATTCAATAGTAGCTTCATATCTTCTTTTTTATATGTTTTCGTAGAACTTATTTCATGCTATATTGGTTACCATGTCTAAAAAATCTTTTGTTTCCTTAAGTAGCTTTAGTAAAGTTTGTATTTGTTCAATTGTCTTTTCTTGAACTAGATATTTGATTATTCCTATTCTTGTTTCTTCTTTTTTTTGCTTGTTTACTTGCCAAAAAATTTCTTTACATTGTCTTTTGCTTGTGATAATTTGTGTTTTACTTGAGATTTTAGTCCATGCAAGATTAATCAATAGGTCTTCTATTTTTCCCCAGTTATTCTCATAGCACTTGCATAATGCCAAATGTTCTAGATTTTTTTCCTTTTCTTCATTGCAAAGTATGCAAAAAGAATTTTTGTAAAGATTTGGTCTATGTTGTGTTAAAGGTTTTAGTAATAGTAATCTATTATTAAGATGTTTAATTAAGGTTCCTATTTGTGTATTCTTTTTTTGGCTTATACATTTGCTTCTGCTTTGGTCTTTAATCTTTTTTCATAAGTATGTCCAATTATATACTTTCTTTTTATCATCCAGCTTTATCTTTTTAATTACTGATAAAAAACCCTATTCAGCTTCTGTTTGAAGGTCTAAGATTTCTTTAATAAACTTTCTTATTAAATCTTCTATAATTTCTTCTTTCTAATAAATTAAGATGCTAGTTTTTTACAGTGTTTTCTCTACTATTCTATCTAAACTATCTATTTTGGCCTCTTCTTTTGCCTACATATCTGCTCTATTGTTCTATTCATTATTACTATGGCTTTTAATTTTAACTAAATCTATTACTAAATTTTTAACTCTATAATGTTTTTAATATTCTCTAATAAATTGTAATTATTCTTTTTTAGTCATTGTCTAATAGATTGGTTTTCTTTTCCATTTTTCAGGCCTGCGATTGCTGCTGCACTATCTGTACAAATTTTTAATTTTCTCTGTTTTGATGCTGCAAGTACAACAAACCAAATAGCTAACAGCTCTGGTTTTGTTGATAATGGCCAATTTTATGTACCAAAACAGCTCTCACTTAGTATTTTCTCTTCTTTTCTATCTAGTTGCACCCAGCCTGATTCCATTTGGTCTACTATTGAAGCTTCTTTTCCTAATGCTCTTTTCAATAAACCATTTATATAAAATATCAATATTTCATTAGGCCTTTCTTTGTTTCTTTGGTTGAGTTTTATAAGTTCTTCTTTTATTAGCTAACTGATATGTTGTTTTTTGATGATTTCGATATCCAAATCATAACATGTAACTTTAGTAGCTTCACTTTCATTTTGTCATATTCTTTTTTCTCTTGTTTTTTGTAAGGAGTTTATCATTTCTTGGTCTAACTCTAGGATTTGTTGTTTACGTTTTTTAATATAGTTTGAAATTTCTTCTTGCACTTTAACTTTATCAATTCATCTTTTACAACTTGAGCTTATTTGGTTTTGATTTAATTCACAACCTTTACATTTAGATAAAGTTACTTTTGCTATTTCTATTTGTATTTCTTTATGCCAATGTTCTGTTAATAATCTTTCAGGACCTTTCGTTACAATTTTTCTAATTACCAGTTTTGTATTCTTCTCTTCTACTGTTTCAATTAAAACCTGCTCTTTTTTTCTTTTATTACAAGAAAGTGGTTTAGGCAGCACTTCAAGAGCAAGACTGTTTGGTTCATTTGTTCTCCAATCTGCTTTTAGTAATCTTCTTTCTTTGTCTTCTAATAATTTTTCTTTTATTTTCATAAACCACTTGGCTTTTCTGCCCTTGCTTAATTCTCCTCGTAGTAGTTTAAGTTGTTGCCATAAAATCATTTTGTTGCCTGATTTCGAAAATAACTGATTTATATAGACTAGGTTGAATTTACTAAGGAATTTGGCTATATTTTTAGTAAAGTTATTGCCTAGTAAATTTGCTATTTTTGCATTTTTATCCTTTATATTAAGGTCTGAAGTTGTAAATCTTAATGTTACTTGTATCTCTTTAGCTTTAAGCATAACATAACATGCTAGATTGTCTTTTTATAAGCTTTTGCATGCCTTAGATGGATTATAGTACCAATTGTTTTCTGATGCACCTATTAATAAGAGCTCATAGTTAATCTGTATTTTGGTAAGAGCTTCTTCTGAACCTATAGTATTAACTTGTACATGCAAACTTATAATTTGCTTTATTAATAGTTGATGCCAAAGCAAGTTGCAATTTCCAAGATTTCTATAAAGCATAATACTGTTGTTTACTGTATTTGCAATTCTGAGTTTATGTTTTGCTAGTCTTAAAATTAGCTTTTGTATTGCTTCTATTACTGTTTTAGATAATTTTGTTACCTGTAGCAAATAGGTAAGCTTAGGTACTATACACATGTTATTAATGTAGGTTACTTGTGCTATTGTTATTTTTTTCGTTTTAAGGCTTCTTATTATTGAACGTACAACTTTTTGAGCTCTTGTTTTGACTAAAGACTCTTTTAGCTTGTTGTTAAACCATATTCCCAAAAATCTTGTTATTTTGTTTACATTTTCTTCTTGTATCTATTCATCGCCTAAATGTATCTTTCTATTTCCTATACTTTTTTTAATAATTTAATTATTATTATTAATTTAAACTTAGCTAATGTCTATTATATATTGGTCAGTTCTAATATTAATTACTAAACTATTAGTATAGAAGTTAAATTGTTGTTAAAAGCTATTAAAAATTAAATATTGTTTAAATATGTTTGCTGCTTTACTAGTTTTGGATATTTTAAATACATAAAAGTTGAAAATTAAAATTGTAAAAACAATAGCACTCTTTCTTGTTTACCTCTAATCAGAAAAGGAAAACAAAAACAACAATCATAAAGTTGCTAAACACAAAACAAAACTTAACAAATAAGTCTACTTCAAGGGCCAGAGCCCTTGTACCAAAGAAAAGAAAACTTCTTCTAAGAGTTGAATCTTTATTGACAAAAAAAATTTATAAAATGCAAAAACTTGAAATTGAAAGAGAAGAAGACAACAACCTTTAGGCAGAAAAGTCTAACAATGTCTCTTCTGAGTATGCTTTTGCAACACAAGAAGAAACAGTAACTGCAACTAAAAAACTAGTACCAGTTGTAGTAATCCAGAACAAGGAAAACTGGTTAGAAAATATTATTCAAAGAAACAACAACTTTCAAGCTTTAGAAAACATGTTAAATCACAGAAACAAACAAATGATAGAAATGTAAACAATGACAAAATTAGTCATATAACAACTACTAAAGAAGAAGCAAGTTGTGCTACAGAAAAACAGCATAGACATAGTCCCACTTTAAGCTATGCATTAGCTGCCAAACAGGACACAAACATGTCAGCAAAATTAAAAGAGAAAAATTAACCTTTGTAGCTTTTTCTTCTAGAAACCAAATTAAATTAAAAAATAACAACACACTAATTATTGAAATTCCAGATCTTCATAACTTCCTTAATGAAATTATAGTCTCTTTATATGAAGGTCTGAAAGAAGATATCATTGCAGCCAAACAATACTTTAAAAAAGGCTTAAGATCTTATTTAGAAATTGTTTTCCTAAACCAACACACTATGCTATTAATAATATTAAAATTTTTAATAAAACATACTATGGCTATATCCTAACAAATGTATATAAATCCTTTCTACTAATTAAAGTAAGAAATGGACTATTAGAAACCAAAGAATACATCTTCAGCTTGATAAAAGAAGCCTTTAAAAATTTTGGGAAAATTGTTTTAATTAAACTTCTACTTATCAAAGGCACCTCTTATATAACAGATCAATAGATTGTCATTTTTGATAATACTGAAGATGCAAAATTAGAACAAAAAATCTTTCAATTCACATTTATAGATAATAATAGAGTGACTATTGAGTGGAAGAAGACACCAAAAGTCTGTTATTTCTGTAACCAAACAGGACATATTAAAAAAGACTATGCATAATTCCAAGAAGCAAAAAACCTAAGACTGCACTATTAAGAATTCAAAAAGAAAACTGCACAAAACAGAATGCTTATAAAAAACCCAACAGAGGATAATCCATATATAGAAGAAGTAAAAACCTTCTTAACACAAAAAGAAACCCAAGACACAAACATGACTGAAACTTGTTTACAAGAACAAGAAACAGAAGAAATCATATTAGATTATGATATAGATAGCAAAACTGATACTGTTTGCACAGAAATTCCTATTGAAAATAACCTTAACACAACACAAGAACTAGTAATTAATAATACAAATTTGAAAAGTACCTAATTAAATGAACAAGAAAAAGTAGACGATCCTACTTTTATATTAGTTGTATATAAAAAAAGAAAACATAAGGATTCAAAACCTTACAAAGCAACCAACAAAGAAAATTGCCAGGATGACCCAAAACAAAAAGCCTGTAGAAGCTCAAAAACTAAATAATTTTTTTATAAGCTATCACTCAATAAAATTGCTACATTAAATGTTAAAGGCTTAAATAATTTAGACAAACAGACTAAAACATTAACACTTTTAAAATCTTATAGACTAGACATTATTTTTTTACAAGAAACAAACACTTTTAATACTGCACCCAATAATATTTAAAAGATCAATGGCTTTTTGACTTAATCTGAATAGGCAGAATAGCGATCTTAGCAGAAAACAAAACTATAAAATTTAATGACATCAAGAAACTACAAGAAAATAGAATAATCTCAACATGTTTCACATTCAAGAAATTCTCTTTCCATGTTATAAATATTTATACACCACCAAACACTCTAAACAGAACTGAATTCTTCAACAATTAGAATATATACAAGAAAGAAAATATAATCAACATCATTGCAAAGGATCTAAACACAAACTTAAACCCAGATATTAACAGAATGAGTCAAGCAACCCTTAAAATAATCTTTCAAAAATACTAGTTGATAAAATCACAAAAGAATTTATTAACTTAGCCTCATTTTCTAAATGAAACCCCTTTTACACATTTTATCAAAACATATATAATAACCAAATAATAGCCACTCAGCTAGACTATATCTTTATAGATGAAAACTACAGTTATCTCAAATCAGAAACTAAACAAAATTTGGAAACTCTGATTATCTCTTAGTTGAATGCACTCTAAACCTAGAACAAAAGCCTAGACATTTAACACTCTGAAGATTTAATTTAAATTTCTTTAAAAATGATGTTTTAAAAAAAGAAATCTTGGATGAAATCAAAGATGCTACTTCCCAACGAGCTGGGATATGTATAAAATCTACATCAAATTAATCATAAAGGCTTTCAAAAAATCAAAAGCCCCAGAAGACAAAATAGAAAGACTCAATAAAAAAATTAATTAATTAAAAGAAGCTATAGCCAAATCTTCTAGCCAGACACACCTCTTGGTCACACTAGAAGATCTTAACTCACAAGTACAATCAGAATTAACCGAACTGGCACAAAGATGGCAATATTAATCAAAAACAAACTGGATAAAACTAGGAGAAAAATTAACTAAATACTTCAATTCATGCTTTAAAAGTCAAAGCTCATTTTTAGCTTTTACAAAAATACAAATACTCTTAGCTCAAGAACAATCTAATGAAAAAGAAGTACTTAACTATATCAAGAAACAATATGCTATAATATATAGTAAAGAAGAAATTAACAATAAAATAGCAAAACAAATTACTAAAGATTTTTTACAGGTTTCTACACAAATGAACAAAAAACTAACAGACCCTATCTCCAAAAAAGAAATCTTAATGATGATCTAAAAACTGCCAAATAACAAGTCTCTAGAACTTAATGGCCTAATATATGAATTCTATAAACTTACAAAAGAACATATTACATCTATTCTAAAACAAATTTTTAACTAAGTATTAATCTTAGAAATAATGCCCTCCTTATGATGCAAAAATCTAGTTATGCTAATATCAAAGAAGTCAAAAGAACTATATAACATAAACAACTAGAGATCTATCTTACTAATCAACTGTGATGCTAAAATTTTTATGAAAATTATCACTAACAACTAAATACAATTTGTAAAACAATTGTACCTCAACATTAGCAGAGCTTCATTACAAACAGATTAATCACAAACTCTACATTATATATTCTTACAATTTTAAGAAACCAAAAAAATGATACAAAAGAGCACTAGATGCTTTTTGTAAACCAGCAAAAGGCTTTTGACAGAGTAAGTTATGAGTTTTTTCAACAGGTACTAGAAAATATGAGCTTTAACAAAGAATTCAAAAACCTAATAAAAAATCTATTCTCTTGACAAAAAGCCCATATCTTAGACTCAGAATATATTTCAAACTTCTTTAGAATGGAAAAAGAAGTTAGACAAGAAGACCCACTCTCACCTTTTCTATATGTGTTAGTATTTAAACTATTGCTAAACATGATAGACAAAAAACATAACAAGAATCAAAGTTAACAACCAATCTTTCAAGTATACTGCTTATGCAGATGATCTAACAATAAGCATTAGCTCTCACTCAAATTGGACAACAATATTAGAACTATTTAACAACTATGAAAAAGCCTCAAATGCAAAAATTAACAAGCTTAAAACTAACTTAATACCACTCACAAACAAAGCAAGAGAAAAGATTCACCCAAAAGAAACTTAATTTAAAAAACTAGGAAATAAAGACTATGTTATAGTGTTAAAATATAGCATTACTGCTGATGGTACATCAAAAAAAAGTTTATAGCAAGAAGCTATAAGCAACCTTAAACTAAACCTAGAAATGCTTGTTTATAGAAACCTATTCTTAAAGAGAAAATTATGTTGGCAAACTTACTGCTTCTTTTAAAGATCTGATATATCACTTAACTAATGCTACCAAACAAAAAGCAAATAGCAAAAATTAATAGGCTTATTATCTACTGGATCAAAAACAACTCCAAAATGCTTCCAAGATATTCTACCTTCCAACAACTATATAAACAAAGAGGCTTACAAGCACCAATAGTTAGCAATATGCTAGAAGCTAGACTAATCTTAGTCTAGATAAAACTAATTTCAAGTAATCTTCTGTAGACAAAAATAGAAAAAAAAAGAATTTTCCTTATACTTGATCAAAAAAGAAATATTTTAGTTATAAAAGCACTTTATACACAACTAATTAGAACCAAAGCATAGTCTACAGAATGGAAACCCTACTTTTTAGCATAGAAAAAAACTAAAGAAGAGGTTCTTACAGAATCTAACTGGCTCTAAAATCTTGAAGAACTAGAAATAGATATGAAAAAAGAACCAGAAATTACAGTTAAACTCATGATAGAACTTTTAAGAAAACTTAATTTTAAGACTACAATTCAATCAAATTCTATAAAACAATAGCTGAATTTTCTAGAAAGCAATACTTAACAAAAAAAAGACACTTTTTGGTAACTCTTTCACAGAGCTTTACCTCTAGAATATAAACTTTGTTACTTTGTAGTAACAGAATCAGGTGAATGCCCTTGGTGCTCAGAAAATGTACAAACTATAGAACATTTTGCAAAAAAATACAAAATTAGTAAAAAAATTTGGATAAAAGCATACAAATTTCTAAAAACAGGCCAATCTGAATCTATACCAGACTTATTAGAAAAAATATTTCTAAAGAACATTACAGAGAAAACAAAAACTTCTGACCATTTTATAGTTACATATATACACTATATATGAAATCTGATGCTGTTATACTACTTTTAAATAGAGAAATATACAATATCCAGAATTAACAATTTTAGCTATAGCAAGCAACAGAATCTCCAAAGAGATTAGTCTACTACACAACAAAAACTTTGTCAAACCTATCTATAGAAAAATTTGCAAATATTTAGCTTAGTAAATCTATTAATGTGTAAATAATAATCTAGCAGTCATAATTAATAAAAAGAGCACTACATGCACTCCACAATGATATCATTTGGAATAGTTAAAAAAAAATAAAAAAAAATAAAAAATTAAAATTATTAAAGCTAAAAGAATTAATAATAAACGTTTAATAAATATTGAATAAATAAAATCTATATAGTTAGCATTAAAGTTTACTAAGTTAAAGTTAACTTTTTCTAAAAATTAGAAAAAGGTAATAGCAAATACATTAATTGTATATATATTTCAAAATATCTAATATCTTCAATTTTGAATGAAATATTTTTAAGTCTATTTTTTATATCTAAATTATGTATATTTATATTTGTCTTTAGTAGTTCAATATTTTTTTTTTCAGTATTAAGGTAATCTTTTTGATCTTTTGACTTTATTAATATAACTTTTCTATATTACCTATTTAAAAAGTTTATCTGAAGGTTCCTCACCAGTTGCTATACCTAACACCTTTGCTTAAGTGTTTCATTTAAACCTTCTGATTTGAAACTCTTGTATCAACTTCACTAAGTCAAGCCCAGATTCTTGTCTCAACCTTAAAACTATTTTATCCTTAAGGTAAACCTATTAGAGCCTTTATATCCTATACATAGCTAACTTAGTTTTTATATAACACACTATAGTTATCTAATATTTGCAGTCAGTGCTAACTTTAAACTGCTATATTATACCATTTTTACTCTTGTAAAGTTTATTCAAACCCTAGTACTTATCTTTTTGACTTCTTTTTTTTATTTTTCTACTATATAATTTAGAATTTGACAGACTCTTTAGACTTTCAATTTAAAAGGCCTAGTATAGTATACCTTTTGGTATTCTTTTTTTCTAATGATTCTGACAGCCTGGTTGGTTATATGCTTCTCTATACATCTTTTCATTTAGTTGCATCTGCCTATTTCTTATTAGAGTTTTCTGGGCTTTTATCAGTTCAACAGCACTATTGAAGGTTTGTGCTATTTCTTTCTTAAGATTTTCAAGTAGGATTTCATTTTTTCAGTTTCTTGATCTTTTATATTTGGCAGTCTTATCATAAATTTGCATTAAAGTCTTATGCAATTTTGGTTTTAATATTCCTCTATGTACTGTATATGTAATATTATACTTTATATAGATGTTCTAGGCTTACAATAATAAGTAAAACCTGATTGGTTGTATTCAAAATTATAGATACCTAAATCTAACTGATTAACAAAAAACAGTTTTGCTATAATACAAATTAATTTCCAAATTTTATTATAGGTGAGATTTGAATCTTAGATCTGCTATTTGAAGGATAACAACTCAACTACTATACTAGAATCACTATTCTTAGTCCAATATTTTTTTTATAAATAAATTTATATATATTATATGTTTTAAGACTTTTAAATTGGTTTATTAATATAAA